TGTTGCGTATGTACTAGTACTTGGCAAATGCTACACACAATATAGCACATCCCTCTCAGCAATTTAGAAAAAACTGACAGGATTTGTCACAAACTTCAACGATATTCCTGATAATGTCCTACTGCATTGGGGTCCCTCATGTAAATAACACTAAACGTTTACCGTAGGTTTAATTATGACAAGAAACCAAAAGAGTTGAGTAACTTATCGTCTATCCTACCAGTCTGAATTGCTTATAATTTACCTTAAAGTTTATACAATTTTTTTCTTAAATTTCATACAATTTTTGTCACCAAGTGACTCATTTTACATTGAGTTTGTTATTATTGCGCTTGCTTGTCTGTATTTGTTTCATTGCATTTTTTGTAATGTCCGTTGCCTTGATGACGACATCAACATGTCACTGAGCTATGTCTAAAATCTTGAGTTTTTTTGTTATCACGTCTTGTCAGTAAATGTTGTAATAGATTATGATTGAAATATAAGAAATAAGTGAAGTTAATAAAACTGTTGCGGCAACAACTGTAATTATGGAAAACATACTACTCGACAACAATTCTAGACACTTCTTTCTCATACATTGTGCAAATGTTGATGAATTTCGGAAATATTGTTGGAAAAGCTGGACTAGGAAAAATATATGTTTAATCGCGGATATGATATAACCTGTCTAGGACTTGATCTAAGCTTGGAGGAAGTATGCTGTCACGACCAAAGCTCTTATCACCGGATGTCTTTCCGACATCCTCTCAGCACAAGTTCTGTTCCCCTTTTCGACATATCACAATGAGTCATGCTTCTGTTCCCATTTAGATGTAACACTAGAGTAAGCTTAAATGGTCTTAAAGTTGATACTCATGTTTGCTTACATTCACTAAATCAGACCCTTCTATAATCAAAAAGGTAGGATTTTTGAGACATGTACAATGGACAAGTTCTGGTCTATAGATATATATATTTGTTAAATAGGTTTCTCTTCCTTGACATGACAGACATCTAAACCTACCTTAAGCCACCTTTGATGAAGTGTATAAGCCTGTATTGAATGTACTAAATACCCTTGCAATTAGCCCATGGACAAGAATTTGCAATTGACTTTCTGCAATTGAAAGAAAAACTTTCTATATAAACTTCACAAATCTGCGAAAGACCCCGGATGACTCTTGTCTCATTCGATGGAAGACAGGTTGATTGAGTGCGTGTTTGGGGCATGCGGGAATATGTCACCATATCGCTGTCCTGTGAGTTTGTGGACGGTTCTGTTATAACATGGTGCACCGTTCAAATCCCAAGACGAATGTGACCACCGCTTTAAAGGCATCGAATGTAATTTCAGTGCGGCAAATTTTCTATTCATTCTTTTTAAGTAATAAGTTGAATCAATCGTATCCTATAGCATACTGATATCTGTGAGGCAAACTGACAATGTCGCTGACGGTAAACGGTTGGTTGTTTTGTATCGTATATAGGTGTAATCTAGCTATCTATTGATGGTACCAAAAACTTATGGTACTCCTCACAAAGCTTGTTTTGAAGCTTTTTTTTAAACATTTCAAGTATGAAAGGATGACGAAAATCCAGAATATTTCTTGTTTTGCAACCTTTAAATTGCATCAGATACCTTTAAATAAATCCTTGTGACAAGAAACAGTTTTTCTGTGCGTGTGCAGGTCTCCGACAGGTTACAACATGACGTCAGATCTAATTCTGTCGCCGATTTGAAGTCTGTTGTTGCTACGATGTTTCCTAATTTTAGCATGATTCTTGTGTCAGCAGCAGCCCTTATTTCCGTTTCCTTATGCTCATGTCCTGTTTTGTAACAGTATCGTGTCAGAACTACCCATTTCTGTTCACCATTGTCATTTTTGCGCCCGTGTCCCATGGTGTTTGACTGTGACTTTGACAGTATTCAAAGTTCTCACTTCTCAGAGAGGGTCCGGCTGGTAGACTGAAGTAGAGGTGCAAACTCTTTGTTTTTTTTATTTTATTTTTGGTAACGGGTCTGTATCCCTTGTTTCTAGTAACCGTTCTTGAGCACGTGCGATTTTCCCATTATTTCGGAAAGAAGAAGATAAAAGAATTTGATTTCCCTCTGGCGATGGTACATTAGAAAAAAGATATGACACGTGGCCGCCTTAGATGTAGACTGGTTCACAATTGAAATTTCCTTCGTGTTCCTTTGTTTGTTCCCCTTTCGAAGTCCGCCTTTTTTCCGTTAAAACTTTCTGGTACGTTCATCGGTCGGTATCCGGCAGGCAAAAACGGTCCTATCTTGCTCATGTATGTAGGGATAAGGGGTAAACTGAAAATTATGTTTGTAGCTTGTTTATGAAGTGTGCATTTATCACGAAAGTTCATCTGTGTTGGTAGTAATTATGGTAAAATGTTGAACTTTATTGCAAACACAAAGTTACGCAGAAATCAAATTTTTAACGACCACTGTCTCCTTCATCATGATACTGAATGACCGATCACTTTAAAACGTAATCTCGCGAGAGTTAAGATACACACACGTGACCTTATTCACACGAGACTACACTGATACTTGATGTACATGTAAGCAAGTGATCAAAATGGAATGTTTCAAGAGGCATTAAGGAGGTCATATATATCAGGGCACTCCAGCCATCACTCAACAGAGACGGTTGACGATGTAGACTCCCTGGCACTTTAGTCACGAACATCCGTGAAACTCGAAATGATGAAATGACGAAATGATGATAATGATTCCAAAAGTATGAAGTAAGTTTAAACTGTAATTTACAAGACAACAAAAATTGGACTCACCCAAATTTTCGACTGTACAACTCCAGTCTTTTTCAAGGAATGAGCAATCCACCGCTTCCGTGACGTCCACTCCGTGAGCAGTGGATCATAGGTTGCAGAAAGTCTGTGGCGCCCCCCGTCTCTGTTGAGGGATGGCTGTAAAGCCCTGAGGTAGTTGGCCTCTTTAATCCCTCGTGCAAAAAAGTCCGGTTCTGTGTCCAAGATTTTTACTTTGTCCAGTGAGACTGAATGTCCATGGGATTCTATATGTATATGTTGTGAAACCTCAGAGGTAGTTGAGCTAGGTCGTTTGTGTTCTAGGAACCTAGCCTTGAGCGATCTTTCAGTCTCTCCGATATAGGTTTCCTTACATGGGCCCCTGGAATTCTGTCCTTGACACTGTATGTGGTACAGCACCCCACATTTGCTTTCCTTTGGTGTTTTGTCCTTTGGTGAAACCAGTATGTTCCGGAGGGTTCTGGTTGGTCTAAAACAGGTCTTAACCCCGTATGTAGCAAAGATCCTCCTGAGCCCTTCACTCAGACCTATGATCCACTGCTCACGGAGTCACGTGTGTTATTTGCGTGACGTGACTGAAAAAGACTGGAGTTGTACAGTCGAAAATTTGGGGAAGTCCAATTTTTGTTGTGTTGGAAATTACAGTTCAAACTTACTTCATAATGACTTCTACCAACACAGATGAACTTTCAAGATAAGATTCCAAAAGTACATGTAATAATTTAGGGGGCGGTGGGGGGGCTTTCAGATTTCTAAAGAACTGCTTTAAAACTGTACATGTATAGCAATAGGTTATTCCACAGTTTTCTTGCCATATGGTTCGGACGTTATTACATGGCTTCTTAGAAAAAGACCTTAAATATGCATTTTATGCCCAATCGAACCCTTACCTCCTTTTGATAACCAATAGACTAATCCAATCTCGTCGTGCACTGCAGTGTGGACCTAACAATTCATCTGCCTCTAGCTATAGCTTCATATATTTTATATTTAGGCATGCATTCTTTTAAGAAAGGTCCCCACCCCCCGAAGAAAAATCATAAACAAAACTAGAGTTCCCCGATCTCATACCTTCGCCAAATGATGTTAATCTTTATGACTGACAAAGTTTAGATTAGATTATTCCCCCCTGATTTATGAGATAGGAACCTAATTTTCATGAATTATATCATTTTATCATAATCTCAACCAAAAGACAGTCTTATATTAACAAAGAATGCATTCTAGCATTTCCTAATAAATTATGCAAATGAGGTCCTGATTTGAATAAATTATGTTTAATGATGTTCACCTCAATTTAACTTTCAAATACCACAAGTATGAAATTCCAGGCAGTTATCATTACATAATTATAAAATTTTCTCATTAATTATGCAAATTAAGTCATTGTTAACATAATCAACATCTTCCTGTGTTTCTCTCCTTGTCAATTACCAATGTCACAAGCTTCAATTGTCCTATCATGGAATGCAGCTGATTTATAGAATTTCCCCATAAATTATGCAAATTACATCCATATTTGCATAATTTTCACATAATTTTATTAAGCATCACGTAAGCTACCTACCTACCAAAAACCAACCGGTTCTTGAGTTATCCCCTTTTGAATATTTTCAAGAATTTATCCCTGCAGTTCCAGAGCAAGCCGCTAGGAGGCCTAAACTCACGTCACTTCTTTCACAGCACAAGAGCTACCTACCATCTAAATTTCATCACCATAGCATGTCTAGATCATGAGATATCAAAACCGGAAGTTCAGCTGCAGTACCATAACAAGCCGCTAGGGGGTCCAAAATCTAATCATTTTGAGGTCTCATCAAGACCTACCCACCTACCAAGTATGAAGACAATCCATCAAGGCCTTCTCAAGTTATCGTGTTTACAGACAGACAGACAGACACACACACACACACACACATACACGAACGCCCCTGAAAACATAACCTTCTTGGCGAAGGTAATGATCCCTATATTCTGTGAAGTAAACTTTACACCGGGAACACGTTGCCAAAACGTACTGCGCCTGCGCAAACCCCGTCATGTATTGTGCATAAGTACATCGACAGAACGTCTCGTCGAAGGTAGTGTTCGCTTATTCAAGATGACATCCAGGCTATAGTTTTAAAATGGGGTAGCCCTAACCCTTGCTTCGCCTATTGAGTCAGTTAAGTCAAGCTTACACCAATTGTTATTATCTTTGTAGCAGCAGCAGCAGCATGCAGACGAGCCACGTGACGTGCCGAACTGCTGCAGTCTGTGTCCTCGGTCTCCTGTGGGTCGTCACGGCTGTCTTCACCTGCCCGGAGAAATGTGGGTGTGATGGCGGGCGGACTAGATGTGACGCAAGGGGGTTCAAAGATGTTCCCGCCAACATACCATTGGAGACAACTATTCTCTCCCTGCAGTACAACAGTATCCAGAACCTGACTGAGGTGGCTTTCTCCAGACTCACCAGGCTGAAGCGGCTTTATCTGCAGGACAACAACATCAGCGTTCTCCCTGACGGAGTCTTCTCACATCTCACCAGCCTGGAGTGGCTTGATCTGCAGAACAATGACATCCGCGTTCTCCCTGACGGAGTCTTCTCACATCTCACCAGGCTGGAGCGGCTTTTTCTGCAGAACAACAACATCAGCGTTCTCCCTGACGGAGTCTTCTCACATCTCACCAGGCTGAAGCGGCTTTATCTGCAGAACAACAACATCAGCGTTCTCCCTGACGGAGTCTTCTCACATCTCACCAGCCTGAATGACCTTTATCTGCAGAACAACAACATCCGCGTTCTCCCTGACGAAGTCTTCTCACATCTCTTCAGCCTGGTGTGGCTTTATCTGCAGAACAACAACATCAGCGTTCTCCCTGACGGAGTCTTCTCACATCTCTTCAGCCTGAAGCGGCTTTATCTGCAGAACAACAACATCCGCGTTCTACCTGACGGAGTCTTCTCACATATCATGATCAGCAGCCTGGAGCGGCTTGATCTGCAGAACAATGACATCCGCGTTCTCCATGACGGAGTCTTCTCACATCTCACCAGCCTGTGGTGGCTTAATCTGCAGAACAACAACATCCGCGTTCTCCATGACGGAGTCTTCTCACATCTCACCAGCCTGAATGACCTTTATCTGCAGAACAACAACATCAGCGTTCTCCCTGACGAAGTCTTCTCACATCTCACCAGCCTGGTGTGGCTTTATCTGCAGAACAACAACATCCGCGTTCTCCCTGACGGAGTCTTCTCACATCTCACCAGCCTGGAGCGGCTTTATCTGCAGAACAACAGCATCAGTGTTCTCTCTAACGGAGTTTTCTCACATCTCACCAGCCTAGTGGGGCTTAATCTGCAGAACAACAACATCAGCGTTCTCCCTGACGGAGTCTTCTCACATCTCACCAGCCTAGTGGGGCTTAATCTGCAGAACAACAACATCAGTGTTCTCTCTAACGGAGTTTTCTCACATCTCATCAGCCTAGTGGGGCTTAATCTGCAGAACAACAACATCAGCGTTCTCCCTGACGGAGTCTTCTCACATCTCACCAGCCTAGTGGGGCTTAATCTGCAGAACAACAACATCAGCGTTCTCCCTGACGGAGTCTTCTCACATCTCACCAGCCTAGTGGGGCTTAATCTGCAGAACAACGACATCAGTGTTCTCCCTGACGGAGTCTTCTCACATCTCACCAGCCTGAATGACCTTTATCTGCAGAACAACGACATCGGCATTCTTCCTGACGGAGTCTTCTCACATCTCACAAGCCTGGAGCGGCTTTATCTGCAGAACAACAGCATCAGTGTTCTCTCTAACGGAGTTTTCTCACATCTCACCAGCCTAGTGGGGCTTAATCTGCAGAACAACAACATCAGTGTTCTCTCTGACGGAGTCTTCTCACATCTCACCAGCCTGGAGCGGCTTTATCTACAGAACAACAAAATAAGCGTTGTCCCTAACGGAGACGTCTCACTAACCAGTCAAACCAAGTTAAAACTGTCCAGTAACCGCAGACAGGCATTGCCCACACACATCACAAATCTTCCTCGCCTGACGACCCTTGCTATGGATGGGAACCCCTGGAGGTGTGACTGTAGATTACAGGGTCAAATGATTCCGTCACGTCTGCGTAGTAAGATACAGGGGAACCCTACCTGCAGCTCCCCTCCGCACATGGAAGGTGTCGCACTGGTACATGTCGACACATTCATTTGTCACGGTCAGGGGGACTGCACTCCGGCAGAGGATACCTGTGATTGTAACGTCGGCTGGACTGGTCCATATTGTGACAAGGGTAAGATATATTTTTGCATCCCAGGAGCTCAAAAGTAAATGTACGAAATAAATGATAACTATTAATGTGTGTTTAGGGACGCAAGGAACTGTGAGTATGAATATATGATATTTACCTCTAAGAAAACGGAGCTACTGTTTTTGTGTGTGCCTTCTGCATTTGTGATCAAAATAACATGAGGTCTCGGTGGATTGTGATGATATTTCAGTGCAATCGGCTGAGGTTTGAGGTATATCTTGTTTGTCCATCGTGCGTGGTCGATGATGACCAATGTCCTCGGTCTGAGGCATACGACTTAGCTGAATCCGACGTAAGCAAATATGTTACAATACTGTAATATAGAATTGTAAAAAAAGGTACCCTGCATTTGAGAATCATCATATTTTTCACCACTTCTGAGTGATTACCAATAGGAAATAGGGACTCCTGATTGGTCAACGTCTTCTGGCTATCATAACAAATGACAATGAATGGGAATCAATATTTGACAGAAACTATACCTGACACTGCAGCTTTACCCTGACACTGCAGCTTTACCAATAAATCATAGATAAGTGTCACATCATGAACGCACATATACATAGATTAAATTTGGTGTTTTGTAGTAAATGTTTTAGTCTTTTTGCAGTAGGTAAAATATTTTTGGCATATATTATGTAAGTATAATGCAAACTTACATTTGGTTAGACTGACTGAAGACCACTAGAGGTGGCTGTCTTTTGCTGACTTACATGCTAACCCCACGTCCTCGTGAGCTACGGGACTGAGTGATTGAGTGAGATGCAGAGCTACTCTCTCGAAACTCCTTATTGCGTGCAAAAAAAAAACTTATGAATAAATCGTTCCTATCCATCCAAAAATATCTATCCATAATTACTTCACTGCTTAGTTTCAGACCATAACGTGGCACTTGGAAAGATAGCTACCCAGAGTTCCACCGACGATAGTGTTTCGGCAGGACCCAAAAAGGCTGTGGATGGTTGCATGGATGGTTGCGCTAAAACTACGGAGGAATTTCAGCCATGGTGGAAGGTGGACCTGGCAGGTTACTACGCAGTCAACCAGGTCAGCGTTATGGAGGGTCCCTCTTTTACATTGCGTAAGTTGTATCTGTACGAAATGTTACATGTACATGGTCATGGACATAGCCTGGGTAGTATTCTCCCTAGGTACTGCCGCCGACTCTCCCTTGTCGCTGGCTACTACCGTCAAGATCCCCTGTCAAGTCTACGAAAACGCGAGTGGCTCAAACACTGTTTTTTCATAGGTAGGTGGTCGGGCATAGCCCTTTGGGTTGTTGGTCCACTGTGTCCAGCAAATGTGCCCGGCAACGGTATTGGAAGATGTAGCCAACTCCTTCCACCGCCGATTAAATTTAGCTTCCCAACCAAAGTCTGGTTGGAGAGGTAAAGGTAAACAAAGGAAGAACACAGCGTCTTGCCAAGAATGATAGCATCGAGCGCACGACCACATGGTTTCGTGTCCGCTAGCCTACCCACTCGGCCATTTAACACCAAATACGTTTTTCATATCATAACGACGTCATAACAATGACGCATTGCACACTTTTTGTTTCTGCTTGTTGTGCTATAGAATGATATAGTTTTAATTTTGTGCGTGTTGTTCACTGATATTTACAGAAAGGTTAATTTATGGTTTAACCTTAATGGTGCGAGTTGGCCCGAACGAGGACTTTACCCGGAATGACCAGTGCGGTCTGAATTACACGGCCACTCTGACGGGTCGGCGGACAGTTGTGTTGCACTGCGAACCGCCACTGCCCGGGCGCTATGTGTCCGTACAGATGGTGGGGCTGCCAGGAGAATTGAATCTGTGCGAGGTGGAGGTCTACGTTACAGGTATAATTAGCTCTAATTTTTATGCCTGCACAGGAGAGAAGAATTCAAACGAAATCAAATTTGGATTCAATGTGTAGTTATCATCAACCCCATAACCATTAAATGGTTTGTTCCGTTACAGCAAACAAGGCTTATCTTTATCCATACATCCCAATAATATTGTCATTACTACTGTACTCAAACAGTGACAGCATTTGCAACAATAAACAAAAATACTTGCAAAACAAAAAAGGCACATATAAAATTAGGCGTATCACACCACTTACTGTACTTACTGTACTTACTTTTAAACTTAAACAATGATTATAGTTCTTTATTTTTGTTTATTTACTACTATCCTTATATAGTTCGTCAAGGAAGATGTTATATTTTTAAAGTGGATTTTTCAAACTTCTTTTAGGCATCTGCTGTGACGATACCGTACGAATCGCGAACGGCCAGATCACCGCTAACGACGGCTTCTGCTTTGGGGAAAAAATCCAGTTCTCCTGTGACCCTGGGTACGAGCTTGTGGGCGACTTCTGGACAACCTGTCAGAAGAATGGGAGTTGGGATCGAGAGGTTCCAAAATGTAAACGTGCGTTAGCAACCGCTATTTACGTTTCGAAACTCCTGATAACGTAATGCACTCACTGCATGAAAGGTTGGATTTACCATGTCCATGAGTAGTAAATACCATCAAAGCCGGGCATTGTATTGTTTGTGCCGGACTTGACAATGGTAGTAGATCAAAGTATTAGTGTTGTCCGGTAATTTTTGACTTAACAGTGGTAGAAAATGAAATTACCAGACTTGAGTCGGTTTCTTATTCCATATAATTTCAAAGTAAACATCACCGACTTCACTGAAACTAACATTTACTACCTTGGATAAATCCACCTTTTCGTACGCGATATAGCCATGGTCATATTTTGGGTGGATACTTCAGATGACCTTGAGCGTTGGGTAGACTTGTGTGACTTTTGGGCCCTCCATGATCTACCGTGAGAAGTGAACCGCTTCTAGCTAGAAAATATGTGTAAGTCAGACAGCGAAAGTCAGTCAAATGTCACCATATATATAATCCGAACTTATATTTTACAACAATGCTAATTGATGAATTAATCTTTTAGATGGTATTTTACTAACGTAGCAGCATTTTACACCACAGGTGGTCTTCGTACATCCTTGGAAACCCTGCCTTCTTTCCTTCCTTGAATGGTCATTACAAATTTGATATTACTGTACAGAAAAAATGCATTTGATATTTTATTACCAGGGATCTGCTGTGACAATACAATAGTGATACCGAACGGCCAGGTCACCGGTCACGACGGCTACTGCTCTGGAAACGCCGTCCAGTTCTCCTGTGACACCGGATATAAACTTGACGGCATCTCCTTCGCCATCTGCCAAGACAGGAAATGGGACCGAGAGTTTCCGACCTGTCAACGTGAGTTACCGAAACAACTTTTTTCTTCTTTTCTGTTAGCTGAAAGGAAAGCATCCACCATATCATGTACTGCAGGCAGACTATCTTTCCTATCAGAAAATGAAAATAAACAAAAAAACGGCGGTGCTTGACCGCTCTACCCCCATGCTAAATTTCAAGTCATTTAGCTAGAAGATAAAAGATTTAAGGCAATTTGACCAAAGAAATTATCAGTAAGAAAATTATAGTAACGATTCATGCGTTTTCGTTCTCTAAAGGGCTAAATGTACTAGATGAAAACGCGTAGGATAAACATCATATAAGAATACAAAAGCAAGGAGGAAAAGAGGAAAAAGACACGTATCATTCAATACTTGTGGCACGGAGTGAAACATAATAAGTTAGGCCTCAAACAGGGGTGGTGAACATACTCTTTAAGGGGACATTTTAGTTGGACGCATGGAAAGTATATTTAAGTATCATTCATAATTAATGCTGCTCATGCCATTTCTGTATATTTTCAGGTATCTGCTGTGACAATACAACCGAAATCACGAACGGCCTGGTTAATGCTACCGACGGTTACTGCTTTGGGAACGACATATTGTTCTCTTGTAACCCCGGATACGAGCTTGTCGGCAGCTCTTTGGCTACCTGCCAGGGAGACGGAAGTTGGGGTCGAGACATCCCGACTTGCCAACGTGAGTTAATGAAACACGGGCCTCTTTTCTATTACCCGAATTAAATATTATATTGACGAACTAAGTCTTCTTAGACTTAGTTCGTCAATATGATATTTAATGTCTAGAACGGTCTCAAAGACCAACTGGATCTTCAGGACACTTCAAGACAAATTCGCCATTTCGCAACTAACTATTGAAGGATTGCAATAACAGACAACACTTGCCCCCTCCCCCATATTGCCAGAAGAAAAAAGAAAGAGCTGTTATCCGACGTTGTAGGCAAAATAAAGTATGATATCACAATCTTTAAAACAACTTTAAGTCCCTCGTCGCTGGATGGCCAAGGTGTCGTTATATGTTATTACTACTCTGGTGCCGGAATAAAAAGCAAACTGAAAATTTGTTATAGCACACACAGTACCTGAAGAACAATCTATGGAAGCCACCATTGCTGGTGCAAGTGCCAGTGTCGTCGCAGTGCTGATTGTGGTAGCTGCCGTCTTCATGGTCCTCTTAAGACGAAGGAGGAGGAAAAGGAAAGACAGTCTAGTGCAAGTCAGCTACTTTTTACCAGATGATGTAATAAGTGAGTAAGGCTGTACCTATCTTCTTCTGGATAGTAGGTTTTGAGTTCAACTTCGTTAACCAATAAATGTTAATTGTAGCAAAAAATTTCATACATGCGATAACATTGGATTTTTAAAATAGACGAGACTTTTTAAATGCAGCAGATTTTACTTCAATGTTCCTGTACCATGTTTTGGTACAGTCCACAACAGGAGACTGCAAGAGTTAGCGGCGGCCCCGCCCGTTCCTGACCGGCCAGAGTTGCCGGGGTTTGAGGTCGATCCCAGCCGGGTGACGCTCGGTGAGAGGATCGGCAGCGGGGCGTTCGGCCTCGCTTACCGGGCAACCCTGACAACTGGCGACAAGACGGAGGATGTCGTCGTAAAAACTTTGAAAGGTTATATATATATATATAATATGATATAATATAATAATTTGAGAGATAGATAAATTGATAGATAGATAGGCTGATTCTTTTGGCATTTTCAAACATTTCTGCCTTACAGATTATCACGGCATATTGAATGAATTGCAGATGCCCCCAGCGAGGAAGACCGGCTGAGTTTTCTGCAAGAGATCCGTGCAGTGGTGGCGCTAGGAGTTCAGGACAACGTGCTGAGTCTGGTCGGCTGCTGTACGGTAGTGCGAGACCATCTGTATCTCATCACGGAGTTCATGCCGTATGGAGACCTGAAGAACTTCTTACGGAAATGCCGACAGGTGAGCCATCTTGTTGTCGTATTCTGCAAGATCTTCTTGGCTTGGCTTCGTGTACGTGTCCGAAGATTTCAGGGGCCCTTCCCTTTCCTCTTCTCTTCCCTTTCCTCTCTCCTTCCTATTCTGCAAGATAGTAAGTAAGTAAAGGCGTTTAGTCCTTTTTTCGTATTTGCAAATTCCAACTTCAATAGTAAATTGTGTTTCTACAGGAAGAGATCTATGACGAACCTCGGGACGACATTTACAACTTTGAGGTGAAACAAATGTACCAAGTGGCCCGGCAGATCGCTAGAGGCATGGTGAGTACATGTACCAAGAGCCGAAAGATGCAGATGTATGATCAGGTGCTGCAGATGTACTGGGTTTTGCAGCTGTACAGGGTTCAGCAGATGTACCGGAAGCTGCAGTGGTACTAGGTGCTGGAGATGCACCGGGTAATGCAGATGTACCGGTGTGGCAAATGTGCCAGGTGCTGCAAATGTAAAAAGTGCTGCATATTTGACAGGTGATGCAGATGTACCGGGTGCTGCAGATACACCAGGTAGCCCAGCATATTACTATGGGCATGGCATAACCTCTATGATATTTATTTGCACTCCTTTAGAATAATGATATGAAAGACGCTCCCCTTCGCCCAGTTCTAATTTAATGGCGAGTTGGATGTATTTCAGACTAGATTGATGTAATGTACCAAATTAGTCATGGCATTTCTGTGGATGTTCATGTTTCAGGATCACATCTCCCGGTCCCGTTACATCCACGGTGATCTGGCCGCCCGGAACGTGCTGGTCGGTGAGGAGCTGAAGGTGAAGATTTCTGACTTCGGGCTGGCAGAAGACATCTACACCCGAGGTTACCGTCGGCAGGACCGGCTCCAGAGGGTGCCCTGGAAGTGGATGGCGCCGGAGCGGCTGGAGGATGGGAAAGCCTACACCACACGGAGCGATGTGTGAGTAGTCTTATCGTAATCTTCCAGTGTAACTGTGATACTCAGACTATAACTCTAGCCCTACACCACACAGAGCGATGTGTGAGTAGTCTTATCGTAATAGTTCCAGTGTAACTGTGATACTCAGACTATAACTCTAACCATACACTACACAGGGATCTGTGGGTAGTCTTGCCGAATAATTTCAGTGTATCTGTGATAGTCTAACCCTACAGCACACATAGCGATGAGTTCGTAGTAGCCCTTTAGTTACACAATCTGCACTGCAAGTCTAAAGCGACGGTCACAACCCGCCGTACGTGCTTCTGCGTGCTGTCTACGTGCAAAAACGTGAGCAAACGTAGGGCATCCGTGCGTGGTGAGTACTGCCTCCGTACGGAATCCTACGGATTTGGGAGCACGCAGACACGCCGTAGAACTTTAAGTGCATGTAAAACTTTCTCTACGTGCGGTCTGCGGATTCACCACCCGTGTGTGCGATTACGAGCGACGCGCGTGCCCCGTACGTGCCGTGCGGAAGATGCACGTGTGAGTACGGCCTCCGTGCGGTAAAGTTGCAATCGCACAGAGATCGTACGTTGTAAGCACGTACAACTCACTTACCACTTGCGCAACGTACGATACACGCAACCGCTCACGGCCAGACTTGGCGTGCAGACCACACTCTTACACTTTGCGCAACCGTGCGAGTGACGTGCGAGTGACGTGCGTAGACGCCACTCCTTCCCCACGTTTTCAGAAAAACGTAGCAGACGTAGCCTGCCCAAAACGAACGGACAAAAGCACGTACGGCGGGTTGTGACCGTCGCTTTAGGCTCAAACTCCTAACTCTTCTAACCCTACACCTCACAGAGCAATGAGTTAGTAACACTTTTATCACACAATCTGCAGTGTACGTCTCATGTTCAAATACTAACTCTTACCCTACACCACACAGAGCTATGAGTGACTAACACTTTTATCACACAATCTGCGTTGCATTTTTCATGCTCAAATCCTAACTCTAACCCCACACCATGCAGAGTTATGAGTGGGTAACACTTTTATCACACAATTTGCAGTGTAACTAACTCCCATGCTCAAATCCTAACTAATAACTCTTACACTACACCACACAGAGCAACGATCTCTGAACCGTAGAGCCGACGAAGAGAATTTGGTCTATTGCTATAACTTGCCATTTCCGAACATATCCTTGAAGTTAAAAACTCAATCACATTGCTAGTAACTACTGATATTACTTAGATAGTCTGTGCTAAACGCCAAAACACCAAAATATCTTTAAATGACTATACTTGCATGATACTGAAAATAAATCTCAGTGTGTACCAGCAGAGACTCCAATCGGGTCTACCAGTAGAATTAACGATCTCATTAGTTAGGAGGCTCCAGACTTTCATGTCTCCTATAAATTATTAATTCCCGTTTTTATGTCCTGACATTGCCCCCCTCCCACCATACATGTAGGTGGTCCTTCGGGATAGTGCTGTACGAGATCAGTACGCTAGGGGGCGAGCCTTACCCTGACGTGGCAATAGCCCATCTGAAAGATCGCCTGCAGGCTGGATTCAGGATGCCCAACCCAGAGGGCTGCCCTCCTGGCATGTAAGTCTGGGTTTTGTGCAACCTAATTGCTAGAAAACGGAAAAGGTTTATTCAAAATCTACCAAGATAAACAAACAAAAGTAAACACAAACAAAAGTAAAATACATTACATATTAGTGAATTTTCATAATGTTCAGTTCAGCAAACATACATGCTTGATGTACTTTAAGCGTATATCATTGTGCGGCAATACATACAGCTTTTATTGTTCTTCAAAACTGGTGCATCATAGCATTTTTCAATCTATACTTACGTTAATGAATACTGTCATTACTCACAAGACAGCTGCAGTTACAAAAAGATCGCTAGATGTCACTTTTTCTCCATGCTCCACAGGTACGATCTGATGCTGCAGTGCTGGCGTTGGCAGCCCGCCGAGCGGCCGTCCTTCCGCAACCTGGAGCTCGACCTGGATAGTCAGCTGGCCTTCTACGGACCCGAGTACGCTAGAACAGCTCCTGCCACTGGAACAGCACCCAAACCTACAGCATAATGTACTTTGTCGACTAGATGTATCCAACAAGTCGACATGGCTAGTATATCAGGCTCTGAGCAGATAGCCAACATTGCTAGCGACAAGTGGAAGTGGAGAGCTCTTGCAGTGGCCTGCGTTGTAGCCAGACAAATGCATATGATGATGATTAGTCTTTACAAGATATCACCAAATGGCTTATACATTACTCATTAGATGGCAGGAAATATATGAACTTATAACTAGACTATGATAAAGGTGACTCTTTTTGCCTTTGACAATTTCTGGACTTTCTACGTAGGGGAATCTCTAAATAAAGCTGTACGTATACGCAATCAGCAAGTATGCGTATGAAATATGAAATTATAATTAACTCTGAAATATCAAATTAATTCTGATATCCTACAAGTATTTAATCATGTCTTATAACAAAAAAATCAACTTCTTAACGTAGTTATTATTTTTTGTGTGCCTTCGCGTCTGGATTTCCACATATTATAGTCAGTATAACTGAACAAGTTACAGACGAATTGTGATAATTTGTGCTTTAATACGTGTGGCCATATTATCGGCCATATGTATTCAAAGTTGTCGATATAACTAGTATATAGGTGTTACAAGTATTGGTTTATATATTTAAATTGATGCCATGTATTGATAAAGTTACTGATATATTGATTAGCCATGTATTGATAAATTTACTGATGCATAGATTAGACATGTATTGATAACATGACTATTTTCAATATGAAATAATTTCAATGAACCTGTATCTTTTAATGCTTTAGTTATATATTCTGTTCGCAATGTTAAACCCTGTAGGAAAAACGTATTGTAAATGGACGGCAAATCAATTCAGGAGCCCTGCGATTTTGTATCATTTAAGGCCATGTTGATTTGATTATATGGATGACATCCGCGCGCGCATGAATTTTCGGCCGTTTCCAAAAAAAAAAAAAGTTTTCAACCATACTGTAAATCGTACAAAACAGTTGCAAAATGAGCAAAAATATACTATAAGTTTTAATTTTAAATTTAAAAAAAATTAATAAAAACTATACCAATGTCGTAGAATGCCAAAATCAAACGAAAAAAGACGAAATTGTTAAGAAAAGAAATGGAAGACTAGATTATTCGCCAAACCATATTCTGTGCCATTTGCTCAACCCTCATGACCACGTAGATTTCATAATGAAAACAACTTTTTTTTTGCAAAACTTTTTTTTATTCGCACGCGCGCATCAGTTTTGGGGCTCCCGGAGGATGTCATCCATATAATCAAATCAACATGGCCTAATGTAAATAAACCAGTTTATATATTTGTGACAACAATTTCCCTGGTACAATGACAATGAGCTAATCTGCTTCGAAATCACTATTAATTTTTTCACCTTAATATCCCATTGATGGAATGTGCTATATAAACAATATATGGCAGATAATAAACTACTCCATTTTGTCTCTTCTGACACCTTTTGGTCGGTTTAACACGTATAAAACTTCTCTTCTTCTGAAGCATTTCTAATCCTGAGAAAAGCGACCAAGGAC